GGGAGAGGGAGAAGGGACTTGAAATAAGCTTGTTCCCTAACTAGAACTAATAAAATAAAATAAAATAATAAAAAAAGAACACACAGTCATATACCCACATACATAAAATAAAATATTATTTTTACAAAAGAAAGACTATTCAAATCTGGTTCAGGATCATGAAAGTCATCATCTGTCCAGCATCACTCAATATTCAGTGCAAACATCAGGAAGGAGAGCATTCATCCAGATGCATGAAATGCAGTATAAGTTACACACTTGGGGAACCATCATAGGACTGACCCAGGCCCCCTGAAAGTGAGTGTCAGTGGGGAGGCCGGGGCAGTCTATGGGACCACTGGCAGTGGAACTTATCCCTAATGCACGAATGGGCTTTGGGAGCCCATTTCCTATGGAGAGAGACTCTCTCTCAGCCTAGATACAGGGGGGGGGGGCTGGGCTAGGTCCTGCCCCAAATTTGATGGTCCTTCATGGGAGGCCTCACCCTCCTGGGGAGTGGATGGGGGTGGGATGAGGGGGTCGGTGAGGGACATAGGAGGACAGGAGGGAGAGGGAACTGGGATTGGTAAAATAAGATTGTTTTTAATTTAAATAAAAATTTATTTTAAAAAAAAGCTTATAAGCTAAAAGGCATACATTTTCATTTTCTCTCACTACAAATACTCAACTTAAGCAAAATATCCTAATAGTTCCTCATTCTGCTTTTCCTAAATGTGGCATCAATATGTATTAAATTATTTCTTCTACCAAATATAATGCCACAGAGATCGCTTAAAACCAATCCAAGTCCTTCTGAAATCCACACAACCTCACTTTAAAAGACTGCATGTGGATGTAATGAACATTAAGTCAAAGATTAGCATTACATCTGGCAAAGAATACTTACTGCCTTCCCACGTACACTGCAGGAGATTGAGAGCACCTTCTATCCGTTTCCAGTGCTGCAGATGAAAGAAAGCATAGGCAATTGCTTCACTATCTCCTCGCTTCAGAATGTGTTCCGGAGGTAAAATTAAACTTTTCATCTCTAGTAAGTACTGCAAAAGAACACATCCATACCAAGAAATTAAATTGTGTTAAGTGCAAACATCCACAAAACATTTACTCAAATGTTACAAATTGGTTTAAACACACACACATTAAACTAGTTAAAATAACATGCAGTTCCAACTGAAAACTTGTTTAAAGTGTTTGTTACACTTGCAAACTTCCAATGTGAGAGTTTCCTATAGGTAAAAACAAACTGACAAACAGCTTATGTGACCTTGCAAATACAAAATTAAATTGAGGAAATACTATGAGAGCAAATACTTTCCAAAAAACAATTAAATATAAATCAGAAAATACAGCTTCTTGAAAGAATTTTGTGACATCATTAAATTCTGTTTTCTTTTCCTATTGTATTGGTGGAAATTTTAGCTATGGGGTAAAGGCAATTAATTAAAATTCACTAAGTACAAGACAGTATGCTCACTAGAGAACACCAAAAAACCCATAACATAATGAGAAAAACAGATTTCTTAAGTAAATAATTATAATCAGATTGTGGTGGGGTCCTTATAAAAGTATAAGCAATGGATATGTGAGTAAGAAATACTAATTTTATCTTGTTTTTAAAACAGCTTTGTTCGGGGCAGTGTGGCGCAAGACTTTAATCCCAGAAGAGACAGAGGAAGTCAGATCTCTGTTGAGTTCAAGGACAGCCAGAGCTACACAGAGAGTCCCTATCTCGAAAAAACAAACAAACAAACAAAAAACCAGCTTTCTTGAACTGTAATTCATATAGCATAGACTTAGATTATTTGAAATAGAGAACTCAATGTTTTTTATTATATTAAAAAACATGTGCATCCATCACCACAGTCAATTTGGACACATTCCATTACCTCAGAGGGGAACACTGGACCCTCTGATACCATTTATTCTCACTGTCTCATCTTTCCTGTCCCTCTGAGCTAAGCATTAACCTATGTTTCTGTCTCCAAACTGCCTATTCTTCATACAGATGGAATAATATATTATCATAATACTGTTATGAATAATATATAATTGATATGTGGAAATTTGTGACTGGTTTCTTTCACTTAGTAGTTTTGAGGTTCATCTAGGTCACAACACATGTTGGTCCCCATAGCTCTTTAGAGTCAAATAACATTCCTCATAAATGCACCATGTTTATTTATCCAGTCATTAGCTGTTAGGCATGTGTCCCCTCCACTTTTTGGCTTTTGGAAATAATAATGCTGGGCTGGGGCATAGCCCAGTTGGTAGATTGCTTGCCTAGCATGCATGAAGCCCTGGGCTTGATATCTAGCACATAAACCAAATATGGTGGTGCACACCTGTAATCCTAGTACTCAGGAGGTAGAAGCAGAAGGATCAGAGTTCAAGATCAACCTTGACTACACTGAGTTCAAGGCCAAGCTGGCAAACATGAGAATCTGTCTCAGAAACAAAACAAAATAAACCAAAAAATGAGAAAGAGCAAGCAAACAAGAAACAAAAGCAAATGGTAATATCAACAAGTATTTATGCACAAATTTTGGTATAAATATGTCTCATTTCTCTTGAGACCACCTTGGGGTGGTAATGCTGAGATATATAATAAGTACATGTTGATTTGAGTTGATATTTAAAGATGATCAGAATATGGATAATTACACTAGGAGTGAGCAAATGTGAAAACAGAAGACACACTCAAAGCACAGGCACCGAGCCACACATTTAAGGCATGCATGAAGTGCCCCTGAGACTGTGTCTTATTCTGTATCCCAGGTTAGCTTCAAACTTGTGATTCTTCTGCCACAGCCTCTTAAGGACCAGGATTGTAGATATGCACCGCCACCGTGCCCATCTTATCTCAAACTCTTGAAGAAAACATTCCTTCTAATTTTATAATCTATAACAGAAGTTGGGGGTTGGGGTTCAGCGGAATGGTAAATAACTTGCTGAGCATGTCCAAGGGTCTGAGCTCAATCTTCAGCAAGTCAAAAAGCCAGAAATATGCTCGGGAGGCAGAGGCAGGCCGATCTCTGTGAGTTCAAGGCCAGCCTGGTCTCCAGAGCGAGTGCCAGGATAGGCTCCAAAGCTACACAGAGAAACCCTGTCTCGAAAAACAAAACAAACAAACAAACAAACAAACAAACAAACAAACAAAAAGCCAGAAACACAAAAGCAGAGACTAAAATCAGTATTACCATAGTTATTACATTAACCAAGTTTATAATTTTTCCTAAGAAAGATATAAAAGTAGCCACTGGCACACCAGATCTAATATAGTGGCAGACTTTAAACAAAACCTTAAGAATTTAGCTAAATTCCTTCTAAAACTGAAGTGTATGCATTTGCCTTCTAGAGCAGATTTGAAGAACCTCTCTGAGCATAAGCAATTTGCTACTAACTGATGTGTCATGAAGGCAAATCCTACATGTATTATACGAAGTTTAAAAATCATGTAAAAAGTAAAGAGAGGGTGTCTCACGAATCTCAGAGTGTAAGTTGTAAAGAACACAAAGAACGGAAGCTGTAATTTTTAAGCTTTCTTATAAGCAGCAAGATTCAGGGAGAATTTTAGAAATAAAAAAGTTGTAAGGATTTCAAATCTTAAGCCTGAAGTAATTAATATTTACATACTCATTGTACTAATACATCTAAAATGGTATTTGTTTATTCAGTGTGCCTCTCCATGCATTACTGAGCTCATTGCCCATCTTTAATTACTCCTACTCTTGATGTTTCTGGCTCCTTAAAGTGTAAGAATGCAGTCTGCTCATCAATTTATTTTAGCAGATGTCACAAACTATGAGATTATTTACTAATCCAGTTTGGGTACTTAACATTTCCCATTCAGTTTCTTAAAAGGAATGCAGCTGAGGTTGCATCCTGGTCAGGCAAAGCCCATTTGCTGCCTGGTTGGGTTCTCTCTCCTCAGCACCCTGGGCCTATATTCAGGCGGGTAATATTCTTTCTAATCCTCTCTAATCCTGGCCCATTTTTTTTTGAAACACAGTAAAAGATCACTCACACCAGGCGGCTGTGGGAAAATGGACCCCAATGGCTGACCTCTGACATGATTCCTCAGGCTCCTTGCGAGTGCACTAAGCGCTTCTTCAGTAGGAAGCAGTATTACCACAGTGGGATGGCATCATTAGACAGTGTCACAGCTCCAGAGGAAAATGTTTAATTCTTAAGTCATGTCCTTTCTCCTAAAACTATAACTCAGAAATGTGGGGATTGGGGAAAGTCCCACTCATTTTCATTTAGAATGTGGAAGCTTTAAACAAAGCTTATAACGTGGTATTTAGGGTTTGGGCACATATAGGCAAAGATATTTGGTTAATCATATCAACTTAATATGTCCAGAAAACATTTTTTAAACAGTAACTATAAACCTTTATTTTCACTGTCAATTATTCTTGGATCAATATACATAGTACATAAATAAATGTGGCACACTTAATAAGAAATTATAATTCATATTTTTAAATTTGATTTTAAATTTGATTTCTATTTTGTTTTGGTTTGGGATCAATATTGGAATTCAGGATGCCATGCACACTGCATAATAACTCTTAATAGCCCAAATGTCCTTTTCAATTTGACTTTAAAGCAAAATATTTTTTCAATTTCTACCAAAATAAAATTTGGTTCCTAAAATATAAGAAAAAAATCAGTATATAAAAAAAAGTACCTGGTGCTGGAGAGTTAGCTCAGTGGTTAAAGCACTGATTGCTTCCAAAGGTTTTGGGTTTGGTTCCCAGCACCAACGTGGCACCTCACAACCATCTATGACTTTAGTTCCAAGGGATCCAAGGCTCTGCTTTAGTCTTTGTGGACATCAGGAAAGCACATGATGCACATACATCCATATAGGGAAAACATTCATAAAATAAAAATAAATAAATCCTTTTTTAAATGTACTTAATGGATCTTGGGGACACCTCAATGTAGAGCAAGTCCTCACCATGTTCCAGGCCTTAGATTCATTCCCTAACATAAACATACAAAAGTACACTTAAAATAAGATACAATGTTATTACAATACTTATTTTATGCCCCTCAGAAATTGCTATTCAGGAATTTATGCTATCCAGTGTAGGCTATAAGTTAATGCACAACAGAAACTCTATCCTTCATACTCTATAGTATCTAGCACATAATGAACTGAACTGAGCTGATATATACAACAAAATGTCTTCAAACTCATATCATTTTTTACTAACAGACATTTTTATATGGAGGTGTGTGTGTGAGCATGTGTGTACACAGGAGTAGACTGTGGAGCCTATACGTCAATGCCACATGTTTTCTTCTATTACTCCCTATTTTCAAAACTTTTCTTTATTGTTGTCATTATATTATTATGTAATAATAGTAGTAGGGCGGTGTGTGTGTGTGCGTGTGTGTGTGTGTGTGTGTGTGTGCCTAGAGGTCAGAGAAACAACTTTGTGGAGTTTGTTTTCTCTTCCACCTTTATATGGGCTCTGGTGATTGAACTCAGGTTGTCAAGCTTGCATTATCAGCAAGCACATTTACCTATCGGGTCACCTCCCTGGCATCACCAACTTACTTTTTGAGACAGGGTCTTTCATTGAACATGGAACTCACTGTTTTGGCTAGAATGGTTGGCCAGGGAGCCCCTGGAATTTGCCTGTCTCTGTCACACTTGACAACCCTCCCCTCCCCCTGACAGTGTTGGGATTACAGACATACAAGCTCACCACACCTGGCTTTACATGGGTGCTGGGGATCAGAACACAAGTCTCTATGGTTGTGCAGTTTGCATTTTACCCACTGAGTCATCACCCCAGCCCTGTCAAAGGCATTTTTTAACTCTGGAGAAACAAAAACAAAACAAAACAAAAAAATAGTAACAACAAAGAAAAGCTAGCTACCTAGACTTTACTTTTATAAGGAGAATAAGGTGAAAACTGAAAGATGGTTTTATTTCTGTCTTTTTCTGCTTAGAAAAACATATGTGTGATGTATAAAACCATAGAAGTTAAAAGAGCTATGCAATAAAAAGCAAGTATTTCAT